AAACGAACTCCTGTGGGAAAATGACCATCTGAATCCATCCTGAGTCGATTCCCAAACGTTCATCCGTCTTCTGTCGGGGCCAAACGGGTTCCACGTCTGACGACTCGTTGGACCACGACGGACGGTCTGCGCTCCAAGGGACCCGTGCCAAGATGCCCAGGGAGGTACCCAGAAGCATGGGCAAAGACGCTCCAAGCAATGCTAAGCCCATGGGCTTCCGAGATGGCGCGGTGGCAATCCGAATGATCTTGGCATCCTCCGAGGCGACATAGGCCTTCACCAGGCCAGGCGATCCGAAAGGAGAAGGGGTGCGTTTTCGTTGTGCTTGTGTCTGCTGGTGTTCCGGAGAAAAGGCCCGGTCAGTGTGCTCCGGGAAATTTGTGAGTTACATGCGTTGAATCTTCAGTGACTGAATTGGATGAACAAAGACTGTCATGGCATGTCCATGCATCCATGCACGTCCAATCAATCTCCAGCTATAGCTGAAAATGCAGTGTCCACTGCATAGCCTTACTTGGAGTGGTCGGCCCAATGCATGGCGTCGTGGCAAAACACCCAAAACCGGGTCACCACGGGTTGGATTCTGCGGTCGGTCGCGTTGGATTCGGCGGTCGGAAGTGGAACCGCACCTCGTAGCCACACCAGAGGCGACTGTAGACGCTTTTATGTCGGTTGGGCACCACCATGACATAGCTGGCCGCTTGTAAGGCCAACGCAAAAGGTGAGGAACGGGGCGATTGGAGCATCGAACCTAGGATCGAAGAAGTTGACAAGAGAGGACCTGAAGAACGAAAGCCACAGATTGATCATGTAGGGTCAGCGCCCAGCGTGGAAACTTGTAGATTCAACATGAATCAACAACTGAATTACAAGCAACATCCCATCATCGGTGGACTGATGGATGAAGAGCCTTTGTTTATCTTATCTACAGTGGAATCTACAGTAATTAGCCAACATGCACTTGAGCAGAATGTGGCTTGCATCATGCGACATCCATTGTGCGTGGACATAGAACTTCCAAACGTCCCAAAAAGTACAATCAACCAACACCAGCAGTTCTCTTCTAAACTTGGACGGAACCCATTGGCCACCCCCAAAATCAAACCACGAAACTAAACAACTGCCCAAGCCCGCAAAAAGAGCCCTTGCAACCACCACTTGGACCCGTTCACACATCGTCCCCCAACATCGTCCCCCAAGCTCCCGTTCTCATTGCGGGCCCGATGTAGAACCAGTTTCCGCCCGCGCCGCGTCCGGTGCAAGCTGCCGATGTTGAGGTTCTGTGGATTGGCCAACATGCAGCACCAAGCATGTCTCGCACGATGTGCGGCCAAGGGCCAGGAGCTCAGCACTTTGGAGAGAAACTCGAAGATTCCTTCCTGCGAACAAAAACATGTTGTTGTTTTTCTCGTTTGATTTGTTTGCCGCTGGTCTTTTGAAGAACCTATCCAAGTCAGTCAGGTTGCCAATTCCAGAAAATGCATACATCTACTGTAGTATGTATACTGTATACCTGTCTTTTTAAGGGAGATCCTCCATGCTCGAAGGTAACAAAATAGGATGGGGTACAAGCAACAACTGAACAACAAACTGAACACAGGGATAGCGAAGGAGCACCTTCCAACCCATTTGGGTCCAATTTGCTTTCATGTCATATCGAGCGTCTACAGCCTTTGCCCACAAGGTTTGGCACAAAGAGGTTACAGCAGGTGCGTAGGAATCAATGATGTTTGAGGTAAACTCTCATGACATGTGGTCCCATCCAGGACAGTTCACTTGCCTAGACTCAGTCTTTGGCATCCCTCCTGAATTGACCGGGGAAATCCTTGTAAATCTCCAAAATCTTCCCGTCCCTTGAGACCCCCGATTTTCAGACCCATGTCATGTTCCTGCCAGGCATGGCTGACGAATAAGTCGCACTTCAAGCCGTAGGGGTTTCGCATCAACGCCCAGCTCATCTTGCCGGCGTGCGCAGTGACCGGCTTGATGTACTGCTCATTGACGGTATAAATGCTGGGTCCATAGTAGTAATCATCATCCATGCTCGTCTCACTATCATCATCACTTTGACTGCTCGTTGAGCTCGGAGAAGCAATTTGACCACTTTGTATAGCTTTCAACACTTCCTGGGCAGCAGGGCCCAGGAAAGCACGAGCATGCTGAACGAGCATGTCAGACGCTTATATATATAATATATATGAGCCACGGGCAAAATCAATTATTTATGCTAAGGATGTTGTTTATCGTTATCGTTTTTTGGGGAGACCTTATCGGTTTTCAGCTTTTTGTTCAATCAGATGCTTTTGGCATTCGCATTTACATTGTGGATGCATGAAGCGCAGCTACCTACTCGCTGAAATCAGAAGCAATGGATGACGAGCTTGTTCACAGCTCGCTTGTCAGCGGCGGACAAAAGCATTGCAATCTCGAGTGGGTTTGCAAAATTTGGTGTACCTATCTCTATCTTAATCTTTATCGGCTTTCTGTTTGCTGGGATGTAAAATACTAACACGTAAGTTCTCAAGAAGAAAGGCTAGACCAATGTCTTCGATAGGGAATTTAGCTGTCTCGTCAGCAGGCTCTGGGCAAGTGGCTATGAAAGCTGAAAACATATCCAAACGGTTATCGGCGAGTTATTGGTTTCGTTATCGGCGTAGTGGCCACATAGAATCCGGATTTTTCAAGAAATGGCTGCAGATTGGAAAAAGAACAACACAGCAACAAAAATATTGATTCCATATCATATGGCTGAAGCCACCCACTAGGGTACTGTCAGTGGGGCTTTCATTCGACATGCAACAGGTACCGCAAGGATCTGTCAATAATGATAATAAATACCATCATACATATAGGTTATCGGTTTTGGGGGGACCTTATCGGTTTCCAATACATCCTCACCCTAAGCCATTCACATCGACCTCTCCTGACTAAAGTAGTCTACACTTATTTTGACCCCACCTCATATATATATATATACTATGACCATCTATGACCCCTAAACCCTATAGAAACACCAGGGCTTGGTTGACTTGGCCTTGGCTTAGTACCCCCATAAAGCCTCCAGGCCCACGTCACTGCCCGGCTGGTCCGATCGCATGGGACAGCCAGGACATGGGTCGGTATGGCATCATGATGGGCTGACGGGAGGACATGATGAGCATGAGTCACATATGAAATCAGGTTATTTGATGTTAATTCTGTATACCCCAAGGGAAGGTTTTCGTGCTTTCAAAAAGGACACTTAATTAGGTGTATTTGAACTGAAACATGATATCAACCTGTAACACTTATGTGCTCGTCCAGTGTCGCTGCGCAAGTCTTTGAGATCATGCTTGGTCACCTGACGCTCAGGAACGAACGGCTTCGGCCCCGCACGGCCTCGACACCGTGGCGGAGCGAGAATGGGGTGTCGTTCGACAGCTGAGAGGTGGTTCTATGTGTGTAACAGTGTGCAAACCTCCCAGGCGTTCCAACCCTCTGAATACCAGAAATACCAAGAAAGGCAAATACCATCAAATACTAAGAAAGGATAAGAAAGGCAAAACGTGGACCATACGAGTACATGGTTGATTAATGAAAACCACCCAAGTTGTCTGGAGATGTTTGACTGTCCTGTGGAGAGGTACGTTTTGACGGATCTTTTGATGGTTGCTTTTTTCGGTCGAGATCGGCGTGTTCCCACCGTCTGCATGAGGTTGACCAACTTCAGGGATGGATCTGTGGTATTCTGTCGTGCCATTCGATCAGCAAAGGTCCCACAAGATGTTCATTGGTAGTTCCATCTTTGCATCTCGACGCTAAAAGCTGAAGAAAAAGGATACACCAAATAGTTGAAAAAAGGCCACGAGCCACATCTGCCGATGCCCAAGTTGGGTGAGTGGAAACTGCCCACTCAGATGATCTCTTTTTGTGATGTAAAACAGAGCTGGCACTGGCACGGCCAAGAGACAAAATTATAGACACAGGTGTTCCAACCCTACAAACACTTCCAAAGGCCAAAAGCAGGAGGCACCAAATCCAAGAAGGGGCCCATCTCTCTCTTCCCGGCACCCAGGTCAGTGAGGGTGCTCCGGGTCTTATTTGACGTTCTATGGATCCCCCTTCATATGGACCCCCCGTCTACTTTTCGCTACAAGAAGCGATATATACCTCTGTTGCTGCACCGACCTTATTATGGCCATCCATGGCCATTCGCCGACCCCATGGCCATCCGACTGCTCAGACTGCTTGACTGAAAGACCGATCTTGACAAATAAGAATAGGAAAGGACTACTGTACAGGATACTAGTCACAAGATAACCCACCAAAGATTTTAATAGTACTCAAGCCAGTCGGATACTTGCCATTGCGTAGATGTTTCATCATGTTTTTTGGTTGGGATATTCACCACGCCGAATCACACACCAGCGGTCTGGCGCGACGGATTCGTGCATGGCGATGGCATCTCCAGTAGATCTTCTCGCAGAGCGCCCAAGTCGCGGTGACATGTCGTGAGCGTTGAGAAAGTCTCGGTGTTCTGATGGAAGTAGTGGAACAAGCAATGGAGGCTTTGTCGAGAAACAAGTATCGAATCTGGAGCGCAATGAAATGTCATTTTCATGAGTCAGTCTGTGCCGAGAAATTTGGTTGATACAGTTGATACGGAGATTGACAAGAAATAGATAGATCTAGGAGTCTATGAAATGCAATCCCCAGCTATCTTGAACCCAAAAAGATGGCTCAACATGGAACACCAAGTAATTCTTGACGTTTTACACATGAATGACAAGGAAAACATCAACCGGCTGTTCGTCCCACTGGACACCCAACCTGCACACCCAATGGAACTGGGCAGGTGAAAAAGAAATCCAAAGACTCTTCAATGAACAGAATCAATGCTTGGCTCAAGTGCTTTGGGCCAACCCCTATATATAAACCACCACTTGGCAATTGAGTCAAGAGATCTGCCAGGAACTCCAAATCACAAGACAGTCGTGGGGACATTACCCCTTGACAGCCTCTTTTGGACGATCGTTGGCACTCACTCGGAGGAGTCGGTGTCGACAGAAGTCTTGCATACCTTTGGTATGCGACCTCCTTGCCGCGACAGAAACCACCTGGCTGGGCAGGTGCTGTTCAATCCAAGTAGCTAAACAACACCCCATTGGCGTGTGCAAACTGAAGAGGAAGCATATAGCACTTATAGTATAGTATAAAGACTCAAATCTGATGAGTTCTGGCTATCAAACTTGTAAGTCATGACTTCCAAGCCTGTGTGCAGGACTAGTCCTGCCGAACTGAGGTGGGTGGCACCACTTGCCATTCATGTTTCTTATTGACGTCCATTTGTTGAAGCCGAGCTTGGTTAGGTCGGTGGCAGGATGGTTCCCAGGTGGTTGATGGTTCCAGGAAGCCAGTTCCATGAGTCACAAGCCTTGGGGCCTTGCGCCATCGAAGTCGAAAGGCATGATGTTCGTACTTTTGAGCGGTTTTGAGCGCAGAAACCAAAAGAGAGATGGGCTTCAACAAATGAAGGGGTCACCAAAGAAGTGGGTCTTCAAGTTCTTGGATGTTCTTGGAGTGTTGAAGTGTGGAGCCCTGAAGAAAGCGAAGAAAGCGCTCCCCGGCACTCCCCAGCACTCGTCCAAAGCTGGTAGAGGTGGCCATATCGAACCAAGGCACTGCAGCAACCACTTGCCACCTGCCAAATGTTTCAATCTCTGAAGTAACACAGTAAAACCAGAGAGAAGAGGATGTTTCATTTGAGCTTTGACATTTCCAACATTGGGCACTGAACCCGACTGGGTGTTACCAACGTTTTCAACTCAGACTTGCCAAGTCAGTCCACCGCTACAGCGTTTGGGGTTCCAACCCACGCACCGATGCCCGGGTGAGGTCCACCGAGACGAGCCGCGCGGCGCCGTGGAGCCGTGCCTGGAAGAGCCATCGTACGATCCATGCCCAGGAGAGAGAAGCCCAGGGAAAACAAGAAGCTCGCATCGCCCAGTGCTAAACAAATGTGAGCAGCTTGATATGCACCTCGAAAGAACAGCCAACAAGGAGTGTCACATCTACACACCTAAAAGAGCTCCCACTCCCACTCCCACTCAAATATCCGGAGATTAGACAGTCATAGCCCTGAGCGCCTTCTACGCGGAGTTCGGGGTGCCGGATTAACTTTGCGTCTTTCGGGCCGAAGGGGAACGTTCAGACGTCTCACCTGTCTTCCGTCGGAAGCGGAAGATGTCGGATCGTTCCTCGAAAGCGGACTTTCAACCAAGGCCAGGGACAAGAATCACAACAAATGCCAGCTGCGGTGTGCCAAGTAATCTTCTGCCTTTTATCCCCAAACAGTGTGGGACACACTAGATCGAGGTTCGTATATGATAGTTTTCAGCAGCCAAACTGCCTGCCGCAGCTGCCTGACTTTGGGTCAGTTGTTTCCAAATCTGAGCACATTCAAAACAATAATATCATCCTCACGTGGCATGCCATGCGCCCAATGCACCTGGCCACTCAAAAAAGACAGAGATCACAACCATGGACAGGCAGAACACCGCCGCTGTGAGCAGCTTGGTCACCACCTGGCGGTAGCTTGGGGTCAGCCAGGTCAGCTACCGTGGTGGGGCGAATTGAAGCAATCAATGGAATACACTCTTTGGCAAGAACAGGTTGGAGCCAGGTGGTGACCAAGCTGCTTTGGCAAGAATTGAAGCAATCTCAATGTAATATGTTGGAGTCAGGTTTATTTCGACTTCGTTTGGTGGAACACACGACAGCATCTATATACAGCCATAGCAGATGATCCTGTTGCTCAATCCTGTCCAGGAATCTGCCTTCAGGATGAACAATCTTTTGTCTGCAGGACTTGAGAACAGCATGACGAGGAGGATCAGTCGCGCTAACACTCCGCCCACGGCCAAGCAAAAACAAATCCAGCCCAGTGGTGTCTGAGGCAGCTCGCAACAGGCTATGTTCGCCATTTCACACGCGCTGAGCACCAGCAATGGTCCGAGCGCGACAAAAGCAACAGCTGCCTCAGGAATGATCAACTTTGGCACGGATGCAGCAAAAACTCTCATGAGACTCAAATTGAAACACACTTTCAACCAGCAAAAACAGGATCTGGGTTCTTAGTTATTTCATTGTATAATTCAGCTCGAACTACAAAGGAAGGCTCAACATTCTGTTCTCCCTAGGTTTCCATGCAGCGCAGGGGTTTAAAGGGGGCTCTCCACTTCACCTTTCCTCCCACCCCTGCGCCTCCGCATGCCCTGCGTGATTGATGTCCACCCCGAGCTTGGCGGCCGCGCGCAAGGAGGGAGACGAGATCCCCGCGGTGATGAGCACATGAATCGCATGATCCACCTCGTCCACCTTGTCGCCAATCTCATCCCAAATGTTCTGCTGATCCGTTGGCTGCGAACAAGTAGCCCAGCGAATCGACCCTGCACGAGGACGACATGGACAGATGGAACGGGTGGGTGGGGGGGTGGGCAGGAAGATTTGACCAGTGGAGTTCTGTTGAAGCATGACATCCATTTGACCATGAGAAATGGATACATCTTTTGACATCCTTCTTAGGCAGGTGCTCATCTTCCAGTTGCCAATCAATAGAATCAATATATAGAAAGTAAGAATCTCGACAAGACTTCATAGTTACCCGGAAACCACTAGACTAAAGGGTCCAAAGAATTGTCCTGTATGGTCAGAGTACATTTGTATTATGCATGTATAATGTATATGATATATGTTCTTTTTTCACAAGGCTTCGCATGTTCCCTTTCCATGAGTAGATCTTCCGGTAAATTGTTTGAGAGCGTTATAAGCCTTCTTACAGCCCTCTGGCATCTGCTGCCCAAACAGTCTGCTATTGCTTTAGAACTAGTGTCAACAACAGACTATTGCAAAAACATGTATCATATCTCTATATAGTATGCCATCCCACTTTCCGAACAATCTCATGAAATGGGTACAGAGATTTTGTGCTAAGGCTATAGTAGGGATCATTATGATCAAATACTGCCAGGGGCAGTATGCGCCCTGTCGCGGTGACCGTGCTCTGCCCCTGCCGCGCTGTTCTGTCCGAAGATTCCTTTGCCTTCGTCCGACGCTCGTCTCCCAGCCGTCTTACCCTTCAGCCATTGCTTTTCTCCTTCTACCTTCACCACACTACCTAAACCCAGCAGTAAGAATCGGGAATCGGGAATGCACAACACAAAAGAATAGCAACCCCACAAAAAATATCCAACAATGAAATGCCAAGAAATGAAATATCATGTGGAAAATGCTCGAAACCAAGGATCCTTTAGCCTGTACGAGCCGCGTCAACTTCTCTATCACTTTTCTGATTATCTGTTTGGCGGTGACTAACTATGTCGAAGAGAAAAAGCAAAATAAATACTCCAGGTGCTGACATCTTAATCATTTGTTCGAAGAGAATTCCCTATATGAACTAGTTCATACTATTTCATTATCTGGATTGAATTTACATTGATAATGGTAGTTCCTTATCATTTTATCTTGTTCTCAGCCTCGTTTTCTTCTTTCTGTTTATATTAGGTCCGGAGTCCGGAGCCCCCAAAATATTCCAACATTTATGTTGTTTTTTTCTTATTCTTCTTCTTGCATTTTCTTTTGGGGATGTGGCCTCCGTTTGGGAGAAGATAAGAGAAGTAGAAACCTGTGAAAAAGACGTGGAGAGCTAAAATTTCTGGAAGGTCGAGAAATAAAAAATATAAATTCAACCTTAATTTCAAAGGTCAACATTTCAACAAGTAACTCAACCTTTATGCTTTGATCAGTTGAATGATCAACCTTAAATTTCCGACCAAAAAAGAGCATCAACGACTGCGCTCTCATTTATAAAGAAATCTTAAGCAGCTCCCCCCCCATCCCCCGCCTGAGTATCGCTTCCGCAGGAGCTCACCTTCCTCCTCAATGTGACTGCTCCAAGCTCTATCAAGCTCTGCGATGACAAACAAGGCGCTCAAACCTAGCAAATCCATGTGGAAAAGCGGCGATCTTCAACATGTTAAATACCCCAAGGCTCTTCACTTTTGCTATGCAATCTGGTTGAGTAGAACATCAAAAATCTTCCAACAGCGAACTCGTTCGTGCAATGCGAACTGCGCCACTGCGCAACTGCGCCGCAGTTCGACCCGCCTATCCACGTGAGTCGGCCGTCCATGAGTTGGAGACCCAACTCATGAAACTCACTGCCTGGGGCGACGGGGCGACGAGAGTAGAGAACCGCCGACCGGTCACATGGTCGACTCTGAGTCGACGCGAAACCTGGGAGGTCGTCGAATCTCTCGTGGTTTCGAACGCAGGGAGAGGTCCCAAAGAACAATGTTTGTACAGTAATAGTAGATTGAGACACCCTGAGCAGAACCCTCAGGAAACTATTTCTCAAGAAGAATCAAATGAGGATATCCATGGATATCCTAAGATAGAGAGCCATCAGCAGGTGTGAACAGCCTGCACGACCTGCAAGCTGAGTGGCGCAGGACGGCCGAACCAAAACCCTCGCCCCACCTGATACCAGTTCCATGCCCGTTACACCAGTTCCCGGCGCCTTTGCCAGTGGGATCGAAACTCAACTCCATGCTGGCGGTCGCCACGAGTCCTGCGTAGTTGGAGGCTTGCCGCAGAGGGCCATGAAAGTAGGCGCTGAAGAAGGCGCAAAGAGACACCACCACCACGCCTGCCGACCAAAAGACCGTTTGGGTGGCGGGTACCCCAAAAACTGCCAAAAACTCTCAGTGGTTCCGATATGTTCTGATCCCGGGGGTCGGGGAAGGGGACCATATATGACTATAATGTATATACAGCTAATTAAGATGTTTAACCCACCCCATGCAAATGGATTCTAAAACCTCTTCTGCTTTTTATTTCAATCTAGATTCTTCAGGGGCACCGAATAGTCCGGTGATTCAACGCATCGAGCCGAGCTCCGAGCTTCCACGGTCTCAAGAACCTCAAACCATAGAATTCTTCATTTTCCCCCAATCAGGCGGCATCTAGAATCATAATACATAGATATATTGTGTGTTACATTTATATATATATATATGTACCGTTTATATCTCTTTTGTAGCACCCTAAAAGTTCCAGGCTTCCTGTTGCAGCACATGTTCTCAGCAGTGTGTGAAACGATTTCCCTATATTTCCCTCAACAGTAGACTCAGACCTTGAACTAACTTAACCTTGGGAAAGTGTACAACCTGCTGGAGGCATATACCTTGTACATCCTTGTACCATCTTGTACCAGTAAGTTGGAGTCCAGGTGATGCCTTTGTTGACAGCAGCGATGTTAGTAAGGTTGGAGTTGGAGGACGCTAGCCAGCCAAGACGGTTTGACCAAAAGTATACAACATGATACAACCTACCCAATTGGAGGGCATACATGCGTCTATTGCCTAACGCTGCGTCCAAAGCAATACGTGTAACACGTTTAACAAGAACAAACAGTATTCCAAACTAAACTGCAGCACAACAAATCATGATTAAAACAACTGCCCAACTTAATAGATATATCTATTTCTTTACCAAACAAATATCCTCTATTTCTTCATCAGTTACAGTAGTCCATACACCATGGCCGCATCCGACAAACATTGGTCTTGGTCTGCACCTTGTGGGCTGAGATCCCAATGTAGTACATTTGCCAGCGCACCCAAGATGAAACCCAAAGACAGTGGCAACAAAGTCATCCAACAGCTACAACACATCCGGTTGGCCAGAGGAGCAGCGGCGATACGGATGACCTTTGCATCCTCCGAAGCCACATATGCCTCGCGCAGCGCGAGACGCAGCACACGACGTGCATGGTGTTTTCAGTATTTCCGATGCTTCGACAAAGGAGAAGCCGTAGCCCTAGCGGCCCTAGCCGTAGCCGTTGACGCTTCGTTTTCGTACTCTTTCTCGCTGCGTTCTCTGAGAGACACACCCGCCTCATAGCCGCACCAAAGGCGACAGTAGATACTCTTGTGCCGGTTGGCCACGACCAAAACCGTCTTCGAGGCTTGTAAGGCCAGGGCAAAGGGCGATGTCTTGGGCGACAAGAGCATCGAACCGATATTCAAGTGTTGCGGATTCGCCAGCATGCAGCACCAGGCATTGCGCGCGGCCCAAGGCCAGGAGCAACGGAGTTTCGAGAGAAATTCGAAGACACCCTCCTTCGGAGTCGGTTGGTGCGGAGAGCAAAAGGCACAACAATGCGACGCAAAACAAAAGGGGGAACAAGAATCAAATGATTTGTTGACATCGTGATTCACAGACTTGTAGCCTCCAAGCGATTGCAAATTGGCGAACTTTAGCATAATTAGCTTGCTGGGAGCATGGAACATTGTTTTCAGAGATCCTACGTATGCCATAATATAATATATTATGAAACAAGTTGATGGGATCCAAAGCCACAACATCAACCAACACACACACACACACACGGGTCATGACTCCTGCCAAGCATGGCTGACAAAGACATCGCAGTCCAATCCCTCTGGATTGCGCATCAAAGCCCAACTGACCTTGCCAGCTTCCTTGGATGCGATCTGCAAACAGATTTGTATATAGATTTGTCTACATATCAATATCACCCACCAGCAGTCAATCAGCTCCACCGTACCCTACACTACAACGCAGAAAGGTGCGTTAAATTGGGGAGGCGCTCACTCTGACAGCAGTCCGCAAGTTGTGCTCCCCAACCAATGGGAATTTGTCTTTTTTCCTTCTTCCAGGGGTCTTTGGGGGAATCCCTACATATAGAGTACGCACCCATTGTCCACTCCAAACAAAAGGCTTCCCAGAGCCGAGGACAAAAGATCAAACAGTTCTAACAGCATCACCCAAGCCAGTGCATCCCGGCTTCGGCTGTCACTGGCTTGATGTACTGCTCATTGACAATGTAAATGCTGGGCCCATAGACGTCTTCATAGTCTTCATTGTCCTGACTGTCTTCGCCTTGCTGAATGCAACTGTGGAAAGGAAAAATGATAATGTTGAGGAGAGGCTTCTCAGTTGGGCTCCCTGTCTGTGGAATTTCGGATGCTTAGGATGCTCTGCTAGAATTAAAACAACTCAGTATATAATGTGTTCATTAACATAATGTGATGAAAATAATCATGACTTTTGGAGAAGGATATAAAACTTCAAGATCGAGTGTTTTCTTCTGGAGGTTCAGGGCGAACTGACAGTGTTTTCATCCCCCTTCCGGGTATAGACACATCAGAGGCCGCCCTGCTTGCACCGGACACCCATTTGGTTCACCCATTTCGACGGTTTCGTGGGCCTCCACCTGCAGGTCCCTGCAGTTCCACGGAAAACAGCAGGTTCCTCCCGGCCAGAATGCACTGACGTTTGAGACCTGTCAATGTTCAGAGTCCATTTGAGGACCGAAACCGCAGTTTTGGGATGTTTGGGGACACCCCGAATCACCGACTCCAACCAAAGGCAGGCTATAGAGACCTCTGAGCGCCTCTCAGGTGTCGGTCCCAGCTCTGCCACCGATCCCAGCTGGAACCGATTCCTTTCCACTGGGCCCCCCCCCACTCTCGGAGTCCACGCCGATTCTTCCTCGCTGGCCGATTCTCCGCGAGTTCACGACGGAGAACATGACGACGCGACGGAGTGAACGACAGTGATCATCTGTTACCCAGACGCTCATGGGCCCTCATATGGAGGGGTCTGGGGTCTCAAATCCTTAGGTTTTGAGGGACCAAGGGCTGTTTGGAGCGTCTGGGTAGAACTGAATCCATGTGACGTAGGAAGCCACGTCAAAGCGCGACGTAGGAAGACGAGCCAGAATGCGTTGAGGGGCCAGAATCTGCTGTTGAGCCTGTGTTCTCCCTGGTTCTCTGCAAAAAACCACGAGGGACTGAGGAACCAGGTCGCTGCGCATCCATCACACCAAATTGATCAACATTGCATAATATGTTGGCTCATGCGTCGCCCCCGACCCAACCGAATGGTCCGGAAGCTGCTCACACCAGTAAGCCTTGCAAGCCGGATCATGCCAAGAAATCAGCCCAAACCCAGCAACCTCCCACAAACCCAGCAACCTCCCACCAAATTCACCACCATGTTCAGCATCTTTCTGCTTCTGACATCTTCTGACCATTGATGCCTTGCTGCCCTCAACCTGTGACCGAGTTGGACAGCTCTGGCCGCCATGTTTGGCCCGGAAGCGCCCATCCCACAGCCGTGACAGTTCAAGAATCCCTCGCAGATGGCCCGCACGACCTCTTTCTTCAATTGCCAGAGGTCATGACGCGTCACACACCAGCGATCTGGGCGAACCTGGGGAGTCTTCATTTTTTTTGAGGGAACGAAGATTGCTCCGGCGAAGACCGTTGGTTGTTGCTTTGGAAAAGTAATCTTGCAGCAAAACGGAACTCGTTCATGGAGTGCAACCTGTACGGTTGGAAGAGGGTTGATAAATGATGATAAATGTAAAACACACATATGGGCGAAAAACAAACATGAACTCACTCACATGAACTTATGATAGCCCATGAATCATGCACATGTTATCCGCATGCTTGATCACCTCGCAGCTAGTCCGCAAAAAAAATCCGCAAATGCAGCTTGCCCAGTTTGACACCTTAACATTCTTAATGCCTATAAGGATCACCTTTTTCTTCCAGCTTCGGACCGCCCGGAACCTCCGTGTGGTCTCCCGACCTCCCGTCCGACGGCAGAGATTCTCGGACCCGCCGACGGCACGGGTCGAAGTCGAGACGCGCTAGACGACGGTGAGGGAAAAAAGACGTCCCAAAAAACACAGGAAAAAAACAAACAACAACAATCGTTTCCGGCGCTTGGAGCCGGTGCTTTGAGCTATGCTTGCGCTCAAATCGGCCCATGGACTCGGTAGGACTGTGATGGCGCCTTTCAACCGAAATCTGCCAAGCGGGGGATGTAAAACTGCAAACTTCTTGAAATCCAGCTCCGGCCGCCCCAAAAGCAACGAACATAGGACCAAATCGATATATAATATTATATATAATTAATCACCCAATCACCATCATCAATCACTGGGGGCCGTGTTGCTGTCTTTTGCTGTCCAAGGCACGGTCTCATGCAGCTGGATAGCAGCCAAAGTGCTTCCCCGATCCAGGCGACCACGTGCCAAGGGGTGCAAGGAAGCGAGGGCCATCAGTGCTGAATGGGTCAAGAAAACATCAGGCACGTGACGATCAGGATTTTTGTTTGTCTGCTTCACCCACCTCACCATGTGGAAAGAGGATGGCACAAAGAGGGGGGATAGCACGTCCACAATCTGTTGTTTTCATGGTTCTCATGCATTGCAACAAATTTAGCAAAGCGCCTTTCATAGATACACTGCTTGCGATTTCTCAGCGGTGTTGATATCCCACCAGACTGGTCAGACGCTTAAGATCTCTGAAGTCACCCAGGCTTGTGGAAAGTCACCCATTCTATTTTAGCAACACTGTGGACACGCTTTACGTTGAAACCAGCTGGACATGAGCACAGAACAAGGTTTATGCTCAAGTTTGTAGCTTTGGGGGGAAACGCGAGTTTGGTGTCATCATGTGTCATCTGTCATGAGGATTATATATCCCTACAAACAAGTTGATTGTTTTTGGTTTTACATGACTACACTGGTGCAAGTGCCACACAAGTTGCCACACAAGTCATTTTGAGCCCGGCGTGAGTGCTACGCGAATTCCAGATATATACCCACCTGCCCAGTTCACAATATTAATTAAAAACGCATTAAGTAATCCCACAGCAGCCGCAGCACGCTAAAGAAGTGTTGGTTATGTTCTTGATTCTCAAAAAATAGATGTACGTTCTTGATGCAATCCAGCAAATGTGTTTTTTGTTTCTGGTGTTGGACTGACACTCCAAAGCTTATCTTGCATCATACATCTAAGCCCCATGGAAGCGCAGCATCCAAACAAATTTCTACAAGACCAAAGGACTTAACCGACCCAAGTACTATGTAGAAGTAAAAGTGAAAACAACGACATGAGATCCCCTACGACTAATTCGTGCCGCGGGGTTCTGTTTCTGCTCCGGAAAACCATCCAATTCTCGCGCTCCGAAGACAGACTCGCGAGCCAAGCGGCACTCCGAGCGGTGTCGGTTGCTCCCGACGCGGCACTCGACGTCGACCCGTTCGTCTGACTCCTTTTCCAAACGCCACAAGTTGTCGTGCATCTTCAACACAAGTTGTCGAAGCAAAAGCAAGTGGTCGGTGCTCGATCTGATCGATCGGATCACTTCCCGGAAGTTCCGTGGACCCAGTTCAACAATGGTTTGGTCCTCAACCAAATCATATTGATTTATGGTTCCATAGAAATCCATATAATATATGGTTCCCAGTTGACTTGTTTTCAAACTGTTTATGGAAGTCAATCACAAATCTCTGGCACAGGTCTATCTGGATCTTCGGCAGGGTACTCCAAAAACACCTGGGGTCACGACTTGTTGCAAACACACGTCGCAAGGCATGGCCCCCAAAGGCATGGCTCTTCTCTTTGAATTCCACCCAATCAAGAGACCTTTGTTTCATAGATGAATTCACTATCCAGTCTCTGCCTTCCTGACCTGCCTTCCTCATTCAAAAAATGCCCAGGGCCCTGTTTTGTTGGTGATGGTAGGGGGGACCTCACAAGGTCATCAGGCCAGGATCCCTTCAACCTATTGCCACTGAGTCAAGGCCTGCCCGCGGCACACGGCCGAAGCCAAACTCAAATCAAGCAGATCCCTGTACAAGTGAATTGGGCCCGCTGCCGGGCACGCTCTCCTCTTCACTGGACTCCTTGGACGGTGAAAGGTTGATTGAGCTTGCTGCCCAGTATTTTTTGTCATGCAACCAGTAGAACATGTGGATGGCTGATCCAAGTGTGGAATCTTTTACAGATTCGGCTGCAGGTCCTTCGGCTGCAGGTCCACACTTGGCATGTTAGAGAGAGTTGCCTTTGGCCAAAACCATGCAAAAATTCGTTCACTACTTCACTACGCTGTACTCCACTTGCAGCTCTTCCGCACCCCCCTGGTCACCCCCGTCCGTCACCCCCGTCCGTCTCCACGTCGCTCCTCGTCTGTCTCCATCTCATCGCTCCTGGCGGCGCCGCAGGAATCGCACTCGTCCGCCTGGCGCCGAAGGAAATACCTGCAGCAACGTGGACGATGGATGTTATGGAATCCAGGAGGCTTGTAGAATGATGATTTCGGGTGATTGAGAAATTCGATGGGGTGGAACCGGGAAAGGTCGTGATGAAAAAGCCACGTGGTGGCTGTCCACATCAGAGTGCGTGGCTTTCTGAACGGATGGCTCAACACGGAACACGTGCTGGCTCAGGTGTATGATGAATTGTTGAATGCTTCTTCACGGCATCGAAAGTATCGGCCAGGAGTCTGTAGACTTGCAAAAAGGAGCACATGTGGGAACATCGATCAGATCCTTTTTGCATGCATTGAAATTTGAACACGAGCATCATGTTGGAGCATGCATGCTTTACTGGGAAGGAAGAGGAGGAATGATACTTTGGGAATATATTCAATAGTAGCAATCGTGGTACAGTCTAGCAGGTTAGTCGTTGCCGTCGTCGCCGTCGTTCGGAGTAGTAACGAAGCGGGGAGGGGCAAACGTCGCAGGCTCCACAACAGCAAGCATTCCCTTGATGCAATTATGTTCATTTCCGAGGTTGGACAAAGCAGTGTTTCTGCCCTTGGACAAAGTATCTCTGTTCATCATCTAGTTTCCACAACCAATTCTGTTCAGTTGTTGGTTTGTGCAAAAGCAGTGGCTTCGTCTTTGCACTTGGATAAAGCAATCTGCCAATGTTTTCTCTTCCCGACAAAGCAATTCTGTTCATTCATGTTTGAGCTTATTTGTGGCAAAAACTATTATTGGTGATATTCAATGATGTCATTGTTACCCAGGCACTCCACGTATGCCATTGACCCCCTTTCAACAACCCAAACATGTATACTGTATGCATACCATTGCATACCTGGCCTATAGGTATATTATACGTAAATAGGCCAGTCCCGGTTGCATCCGAAGTCGGACGTCCAGCCAAACCGCTATACCGGCGACAGGACCTCGACCGGAGAAATGGCATCTCGCTCGGGTTGAAAAGATTGGCATGTGCAACCCCCCGTCACAGCACTTGTTTGTCCTTCCACAAACCAGGCTGCGGATGTTTAACGGGATATTGTTTTAAATTCAACGGTATAAATGTTGCTTGTGAGGGGGGCCTTTAGTTTTCCGTATTTACTTGAGTTTTTAGTATGCTTAATTGAGTTTAGTTGAATTTAACAAATTGCTAATGTAAAATTCACCCATAAATTTACATGCGTTTTAAAGTTCCTTTTGAATTGTATCTTTAAATGTCCTGAAATGTTATCATCAAATTTCCTTTTAAACTTCCCGTGGAATGCTTTTTCAAGGTTTATTGTACATTTTGCGTTTAAATGTCCTTTCAAATGTCCTTACCTCAATTGAAATTTCCCTCTGGCATTTCCTTTAAACAATCCTTCAATTATCCCGGTAAATGTCCTTTTTCGCTTGTCTTTTAAATGTCCTTTTCATTGTCCTTCCCGTCCCACAGCTAAGCTTACATTGAGAAAACAGATTCCACTAAAGAACAAAATATGCACCACGTACTTCCAATCCCACCACGTACATCCCAGTAAAACATGACCCCCCACAAACCATCCCCTCCAACACCCAGCCTGTAGGCCCACACCTACACGACCCACATCGAGTCCACCCGTTTGGTTGCGGAAAATCCGCACTCTCGAGCTCCAAGGCGCTGCAGGATCCATGTCCCACCTCACACGGGGTACGACATGCCTCTCAGTGAACCGCAGATCTGAGATATCACTTACTTATAGAAACATGTCGTGATGAAAAGTGGATCTCGTTATTGTGAACCATGTTAATTGATATTGCGTGACTATGAAAGATGAGGCCAAGTCCCATGTCGTCTCAGAAGCAAAAACAAACAAAGCAACACGTCATGCCGTGGGCGTTTCGGCTGCGTCGCTGGTATTCGCTGGTCAAAAGCGTACCTGGAAGAGCCAGCGTGCCATCAATGCCCAGAGCTCCAAAGAAGAGGGAGAGCACAAAAATCACATCCAAAACGAACAACATCACGAACACGGCATCGGCCGCACCTGGTGTACGTTGGTGGACGAAGCATGGTTTGTTCTTGTGCAGACTGGGTTATCTATTTTGTGCAGTGCCTCGAATGCACAAATGGTGAGTGTCGAGCTACCAAGTCTTGTTGGACAAACAATTTGTGTCCTTTTGACTTGGTCGGCAACAAGAACAACAACATGGACATGCATGGACTGCTTCGCAGTTATCTGGCTCCAGATCTGAAGGTTTCCAACGCCCCTTGCTCAGAATTCTGAGGTAGGGTGATTTGATCCTCACGTCCCGCTCTGCATCCGCCCTCAAGTGACAACCACTTCTTGGCAAAGGAAAAGGGTTCTGCAGGGAATGTCAGCTGCCACATGAATCCACATGACATGTGCATTCCTGGACCTTTAACTAATACCGAAACATACCGAAACCAATCTGGATACGAGATAGATTTGAAGCTACAACTTCTCAAAAGAAAGGAGTTGCAGAAACAAGTGCACTCGCTTTTGCAAATCCAACACCTTTATTTTGATATCGATTGAGTCGTCCCGTGTCACACCTCCTCCCGTCACCCGCCCTGCACATCGCAACACAGCATGCAAACAGCATGTAGACCTACAGTGCTGCTTCCGATACATCCGGAAAGAGATACAGTAGCTGAACAAGTCGCAAAACTGATCACGTAGATCAAACTGGGTATGTTTTTCAATGGGGAGACCCCCAATTCAATGGCTTTGGTCTATTTCCCTAGCTTCCAAACTGTTTGGGAGGTCTCCCTATATATAGATTCTACTGGCTGTCAGTGTGTTGGCAATCCCGGGTGACTTTCCTCTGAAGACATGAAGCCTTGAAGCCCTGCTGACGACCTGAAGCCTTGAAGACCTGAAGCCTTCTGACGACCTGAAGCCTTGAAGTCGTGAAGACCTGAAGCCTTCTGACGACCTGAAGCCTTCTGACGACCTGAAGCCTTGAAGACCTGACGCCAGGCGACGACCTGAAGCCGCGAAGACCTGAAGCTTTCTGACGACCTGAAGCCTTCCGACGACCTGAAGCCTTCTGACGACCTGAAGCCTTGCAGACGTGAAGACCTGAAGCCTTCGGACGACCTGAAGCCTTGGAGACCTGAAGCCTTGAAGACGTGAAGACCTGAAGCCTTCTGACGACCTGAAGCCTTGAAGACGTGAAGACCTGGACGACCTCAAGCCTTCACGACCTGAAGCCTTGAAGACGTGAAGACCTGAAGCCTTCTGACGACCTGACGCCTTCTGCCGACCTGAAGCCTTCTGACGACCTGAAGCCTTGAAGACCTGAAGCCTTGAAAACCTGAAGCCTTCTGACGACCTGAAGCCTTCTGACGACCTGAAGCCTCCTGACGACCTGAAGCCTCCTGACAACCTGAAGCCTTCTGACGACCTGAAGCCTTCTGACGACCTGAAGCCTTGAAGACCTGAAGCCTCTTCGTGTCTTCGTGTCTTCGCGTGTCTTCGTGTCTTCGCGTGTCTTCGAGTCTTCGTGTCTTCGCGCAAAAGTCACAACCCGCTTCTGCCAACGCAATGCTGTATTTACATGCCCAACTTGCTTCTCAGTGCCGCGAGTCCCGGGACAGCGCAGCACCGCGAGTCCCGCCTCGCCACTCGAAGACGATGGTGATCACTGAGAAGACAAGGAGGAACAGCACGGTCGCGACCAGTTTGGTGAGCACCTGAGAACAGTCTCAACGAGTTTGGTCGGACAAAACAGTTTTTTCTTTTTCAAGACCTCAACACTCTGGAGAAGAACCGTGTTTTGGTGAGGTTGTCAAGCCTCTGTCCAGCCTCAACAGTCTGTATAGAACACCCTGTATTATAGAACCTCAACCGTATAGTCAGCCTCTGTGTCAAAACAACATCTTGTTTTCAACGCCCGTCGAGCATCCTTTCTCGAGAATGAAAGGCATCTTCAAGCAGCATGGATCCTCTGTAGCAATGTGCACTGTGGACCCCTTCCACCAAGAACATCTGGGTATGACCCCTTCCACCAAGCATGACCATTGTCCATCTGCGTAACCTACTTATCTCCTATCTTGCCATCGCCCACATCGACCATCCGAACCGCTGCGACGGCCTTGAGGATGAATCGACGCTGGTCCGTCGGACTGAAGCATAAGATGATCGTCAGCGTCAAGCGTGCGAGCGAACCCACCGCAGCAGAAATGCTCATGGCCCGGCCGAACCAAGTGCTCGGCCAAGGCTGTTTGATGGTTTGAAGAATATTCACCTCGAGGATGAAGCACACAGGGGGTGAAGCACACAAATGATGCAGTTTCAGAGGCTAACTATATTGTCTATAATTAGACTGCATTATTAAATATGAACAAGTTCTTTGAGACTACAACTTTGACAAATGACGAACACACTGATGATGAAAGGGTGTATGCAGCTGCAACGAGAAGAACCTTTAAACCCTGTGCCGACCAGCCCGTCTTGCTGGTTGGCACAGGGTACGGCTGGGAAAAAAATAACAAAACGCCGACCGCACGTTCATGGTCTTGGGCAAATCATGGTCTCATGTCCACCTGACGGGTGTCAAAAAGCTCGCCTGCAAAAGAAGTGGGAGACCACGCTTTGTTTTGTCCTTAATAAGTGGTTGCCTCTCTCACAGTCCTTAAGCTACTCAAGGGCTGACTGAAGAGTCAGCCCTTCCACTGAGTTTATGCAAGCAGAATCGTGTATCAGAAAAGTTGTTTACGCAATCATCGATTGCCACCACCTTTCATTATCGCAACTGCAACACGTTTTCTTCCCTGCTCGCCTGGGTGCTGTTTTTTGCTGCTTTCCAGCCACCCAAAACGCCCACTGAAACAGTTGTTTCGAGATTGTGAGGGGAACGCAAAAAGTTCTTGTTGAAGCCGCTGCCTGGTGACCCCTTGCAAAGGACCAAGGACCGTGAATGCAATAGCTAGCTCTGCATGTCCCGCCCCTTTGACATCCACACCAGACTTTGCGGCAGTACGCAAAGCAGGGGATGACATGCCTGCTGAAATGAGCACATCAATGGCACGATCAACTTCTTCAACTTTGTCTCCAATTTCATCCCAAATATTTCGCTGATCCGTCTCCTGCGAACAACTGGCAAAGCGGATGGAACCATCGTATTGCTTCCGCAGCTGCTGGCCCTCGCGGTCAATTTGCAGGCTCCGCACGCGGTCAAACTCAGCGATCAAAAATAGACTTGCAAAAGTGAAATGTCCATCAAAGATCCGGATGCCCAAGTCATGAAACTCGTCGTAGTCCTTAGGGATTTTCATCCGGGATCGGCCATCCGGGGTCCCAGCGTTCCAAAGAAGTGGTTCAAATACGATGCTCAGTCTCTTTTTTAAAGACAACATGTATACCAGGACCCCCAATGGGTGGTTAATGGACACCCCTTAAGGGGCCATAAATAGACACCCCTTGGAGGGTCCTGGTATATATTTGTTTCTGGTTCTCAGAGAGAGCACCTCTGGCAACGGCAAAATTACATCATCCGCAGAACATGTTTATTCATCGTTCATTGAACAATGCCAACCGTCCTAGCAACCTCCAAGATACCCTTCAGAACTGATTGATATACCTCATTGGGGTCCCAGTGGCATAGTGCACTTCCAAGCACATGCCTGCGGCCAGTCCAGCGTAGTTGGCGACCTGCCGCAAACGTCCATGGGCGTAGGCAGTACAAAAGGCCGCAATGCAAATGACGATCATGCATCCCGGAGCTATGTCCCAGGCTTTGATGTTTGCCTCGGATTTTGTGTCCGACCAAAGAACTCACCACATGGAACATGAAGACTCTGTGTGAACATGGCCTGCCTATTAAGTCCAAGTTGCCAGGATGCCGACAAGAAGTCCCAAGGAAAGTGGTACGGCTGCGAATAACAGAACCGTCCAGCAAAATCCTGACCACACTGAAGCAGCGGCAATTTGAATGGTTTTGTCCTCTTGAGAGGCCACATAGGCCTCATATCCACACCAAAGGCGGCAATAAATGCTTTGCTGCCGATTTGGGATGACCAGCACATAGCGGGACGACTGCAAGGCCAGTGCAAAAGGCGAAGCTCTAGGTGATTGAAGCCTGGGGTTTCGGCGATTTTTCATGGCGGTTCTGCAAACTGACGGTGTTGGGTCAAGACCTTGAATGGCCTAAGTCTACTTACAGTCATGGGGGATGGCCAAACCCTAAGCACCATAGCCCCCCCCCCCTCAGCCCCCCCCAACCCCCGTGATACAGGTCAATCATAAGCATTGTGAAACCCCCAGTATCTCAGTGGAACATGACTGAACTGTACTGACGAGTCTTTTGACCTTTGATGTCCCAAAACTTCCTGACTTCATCAATTCGGTCAGAATCACGGCTCGAAACCAAGACATGCAACAACAAATAACATGTAACATATGTAACATATACTGTACTACAAAAAAAACAATCACTACCACCATTTCAAAGCCATTCTTGGAGCTGCTTGAAGGTCTAAGACAAAAGCAAGATCTCCAACTTTTCGCGAAAGATCCTGAACCCTCAAAGTCATTCAAACATAATTTTCTATCTGCCAAGTTGCATCGAGCTGATGTTCAAATGCTGCGGATTTGCCAGCATGCAACACCATGCGTGCTGTGCACGCCAGGGCCATGATCCACGGAGTTTGGAGAGGAATTCAAAGATGCCTTCCTGGAGCACCCATATGCTTTGGAAAACACTTCTGAAAACTGTTGTTTAAGTGTGTTTTGGCAAGCACATCGATTAGGAAGTTGACCATCCCCTTGCAACAAACAACAACCAAGTTTTTGCTTGTATGTTTTAGTCAAAAACAACTACAGTATTTTGTAACAACAAGCGAACGATTCACTTCTTGTAGAATCTGTAGAATCACTCTCTGACATGTGATGCGATTTTGCTAACTTTCACCGGCTGACAACGGAGGAAACTAAACAGTCAACGGTCGACGGTGCATGGATGGCTTTCGTACCGTCCTGCCAAGCATGGCTGACGAACAAATCACAATCTAAGCCCTCGGGATTGCGCATCAAGGCCCAACTCATCTTTCCGGCTTCCTTGGATGCGATCTGCAAAGAGATTTGTATAGATTTGTCTAGCAGTCAATCGTCTCAGCTCCACCCCTACCCACTTCAATGTGACATGTGTGGAACAACGTTGGTAATTACTTCAATATCACCAAAACAAATCAAACAGCATCACCAAAGCAAATACATCCCGGCTTCGGCAGTCACTGGTTTGATGTACTGCTCATTGACAATGTAAATGCTGGGGCCGAACTCGTGTCGCCCAGCACAGGAGCTGTTGCCATCATCTCGGTGACATGAGAGATACATCAAAGTGACGGATCAAATCGTTCCCCAGGTCGTCAATCACACCATTGACTTCAAACATCTTCAAAAGAAAGCAGCCTTCCAAAACAAAATATTGGGAACAAAGGCAAAACTAAAGCTGTAAGAACGTGAGTGTCAATTGTCACTGGCCTTGAATAGTCGGGATTGGGGTGCCACCGAAAATCACAGGCCCGCTTCCGAATTTCTGCACAAAAGCCATCTGTGCACTATGGCAAGGGACCTATACCAAGACCTACAAACTTGAGGAAAGCGGAACGCGGGACATCCATTCCTTCTGAAACCCCGCAGCCGGTCGCGAACGTCCCCCCCCGAAGACAGTACCTTCCCAGGAGGTTTCCACTTTCCTCACCGTTTTCTGAGCTACCTTCGCTGCCGTCTGTCTGGAGGCTTCCTGAGGTGACAGACTGGTCCAACTGCTTGGACGGTATATCCCATTCCCCGAAAGTGGATGGGGCCGAATTGCAGGCCCTTCTCTATAGGATCTTGTCTACCGACTGTTACAGGTACAAGTAATGGGACACCCTCAAGGTCTATCCGATATCCCATTAGCAGTAACAGTGGGCGATGATGATGATCATCATAATGGATCATAATGGTGGTGATGATATGATAGTGATAATACTTTACCCCATGTTGCTAGTAACGGGCCACACCCTATGTAAACACAAATGCAAGCAGGGGATCAGCTTGGAAGGATCTATTTCTGTTTAGGGATGGGCGTAGTTTCGGCTCATTCAGGTCGCAACTACAAAACCACATACGGCCCAACCATTCCAAAAACAAACAATGCACCCCAAATACTTTGAGTTGTACTTTACTCTTTTTCGACTCTTTTTGCTTCTCTTCTTAGTCTTTCGCTTCGCTCCCCCGCTCCAGTCCGAGCCTACGGACGATGAGGAAAACGACTCACCGACCCTGGGCTTAGCCCTTTTTAGGACTTGGAGAACTCTTCTCCTTGGAACATGACCATTTTTAGGGCCTTCTTTTAGGCCGTTGCCTTTTTGTTGGGTGCGACCGAACATGAACTTATTTGGAACAAAACTCATACTGTTGTGAAACATGAATGACATCTTGCTCAAATACATCACCGAATGTGATACCATTCCAACAGTCAAAACAACAGCAACAACATATAACTGCTGCCAACAAAGTGTGCTATAGCAATCAAATCAAACACATATTGCAAGGCAACATAACAAACAAACAGTTACATTGCCACAAACCTATGATGCCTGCAATGGCCTCAGCTTGTCACGACGGTCAGGGGAACTCTCCCTTGGCCCCTAACCTCAGCACCCCATTCTCCCTCACCCGGAGTGTGGGACAGGCTGAAAGCTGGCCCTGCAGCTTTTAACATTCCTGGACCCTGCAAAGTACCCTGTGACATGACCACATCACAACAGCCCCAAACAGCTCATAGAAATCGATCACTGAACATCACTGAACATCTGCCGAAGCCTGCGGCGTCCGGGACCTCTCCGGTGATTTTTCGTTTTGCCCGTTGTCAGCGTGCCGGGTGCGTGCCGCGCGGCCCCGGGCGATGGCCGCGTGGATCTCGCGCTGCAGCTGCCGCACGTCGCCCCGTGTCACGCACCAGCGGGCGGGCGACACCTCGGTGAAGCGGGGGAGAGAGTTCCACGTGCCATTGGTTTCGAGCCGAGCCCGGATCTTGCTGGACATTTATATTGGACATATCAAAATGTACTACTACTACTACTACTACTACTACTACTACTACTACTAAGAAAACAAGGGACACTACATATGTCTACACTGTTTTTTTTGTTTTTTCGAACAAAAGCATCCAACGAGGAACTCTTTTTGGATCTTTCTCTCCGCAAGTGGTGGAGACCGGGTTCCACTTCCGACGAGGACCTTTCGAAAGTTCCTATACTCCTATACTCCTTCTGTATCTGATTAAAAGGCTCAAGCACTCACCCCGGGAACTGTACCCTGGCTCAGGAATTAGACATTCTTGCATGGTTGGAAGATCCAGGTCGAAGTGGTTTTTGCCTGGTTTTTGCACATCCAATTTCAAGGAGGAGTCCTCCCGTCCTCCCTCAGGATCGAACAGTGGAGGAATGGGAGTCAACATGTTTTTTGGGGGCTGATGAGCCTCTCTTCCAGTTGTAGTCAATTCATGTCTCAAATCCCATGAAATTGACCTTCCCCCTATACGTGTCTGGGTATGTCTATCTCTCCACCGTGGCGGCCGGCTTCTCCAAGGCACCGTTTCATGCAGTGCGACCGCTTCATGCGTGCTGAGACAAGTATTGTGGCGCATTGGGAGCCACAGCACTGGCGCTTTTGGAGTAAACACCGTTCGTCACTAGTCCTCCGTTCGTTTGGATAGGAGGACTAGCAAATCATGCCCAAGTCATATAGTTCAGGTATGTTCAGGTTGATGAACCACTATACTACATATCTGTTTGATTCTTTTTGTACATGGGGGGGACGTGCCACTTATATCCTAATTACTATACTGCTGGACAAACAATAACACAAAACAGCTGTGAATTGGAGCAACTTCTTGTACAACCAATTTGCCATACTCCTGGTTCCTGGGACTCTGGATCGTGCGTTCAAACAAAAACACACCGGGTATAACCGACGACGAAACAAAAGGACGGGGGGGGGGTATACCGCTGGGTTGCGCCGTCGCCGAAGTCGTCTCATCCGTGGTCTAAAGAGGTGGATTCGTCTCAACGAAGAGGCGGTCTCATGTGTGAACATGAAAACCCTGTGCGAAGAGAGAAAAACCAAAAAAAATAATGCAAAGGAATTCATGCTAATCGATCATTGTGAAAGGAATGGGGTGATCCGCGATCGGATCCGTCCGTGTAATCTTCGGTGGCTGATGCTGTCATGTGGATCTTCGCCTGAATGCCTCGATGGATCCCAATGGCTGCGGGTGAGGGCATAACGACCGAGGAGTGAACTTCCCATGTGACATATACTGTGGACCGTGGTGCTTTGCTTTCGACCCAATACAATTTCAAATCCTGTCATTTTCAGTCGTCTCATAGAGGATGAGTACGAGGATGGAACAAAACAACAAAGAAGCTAAACCCTAAAACGTCCTAAAACCCCAAAAGTACACAAACATAATTAAACAAACAACTGATCAACGTCATCTCTAAAAACCACTGCTGTTGTTTGGACCTCGAAGCAGTGAAGCAGCGCCAACAAAAACCAATGGGTCCGATTCTTCGAATACACTTCGCGGAGGGTAAAGGACTGCTTTTGTTTCTTTTTTGAAGGCAATCAGGCTACTTCGGAACTTACCCACCAAAATGGTCTCTTTACAAACGCCAATGGTAACTCAGGGCATCTCTAGCAATTGGAACGAAAGGGGAAAGTAAGCTTGAATAGCCTATGTCCACGTTGGGGGGCAAGGAGCAGTCGCAAAGGCTGGGAAAGCAAGAAAGTAAGCAGTAAGCACGTACGTTGTTCCATGGGCATGGCATGCAACTAGCATGACTGGACTGGGGTGATTGTAGATTGCAACACTTACCAGTGAAGAACGACTACAAAGGATCCAATCTGCATCTTGTTTTCAGAGAAATGGCGGGAGACAGTCTCGCACCGCCCGTAAAGCCATAAGGAAAACCACGGGGATCCTCCTGATTTAGGGGGAGTTCAGGCACTGCAGGATGTCTTCCAGCCAGCTTTTTTACGAAGCACCTGCCTGCCGATAGGTCCGGCATTGATCTGGCGCGGTGAACGACAAAAGCATCTCTACACTCCCTGAAATCACGGAAGTGGATGACATGGCCCCTTGAATGCCCATGTTTCTTGTACAAACCGGTGGTTTTCAACCACTTCCATCCATATTTCAGGGAGTGTATTCATGTTGACTAGGAGTCTAGGAGTGCCAACATTTGCAAGTTACATGATGTCAACACACTAGGCTAGTGTCATGATGTCAACATATTCCAGCTAGAGTGAAGGCAGGCACACTGCATCCCTGGGTTTTCAAGCAGCCATCAATTGGTTCAAGTTCAAAAAGTAATTTGTTGGTGGATTCAGGTCCAGCATTTAAGGGATAGGTCGGTAGACCTCAACACCGCCAGTCAGGTAGACCGGTAGACCTCAAAGAGCAAACCGCTCGCTGGTGATGGTGATACAACATGGATATTTCCAAGAAAGCATATGATGCAAATTGATGCCATACTATATGATGAATGTGGCCAAACGGTTCAAAACGACACCAATGCTTATTCAACTGTTCTTACTTCAACTTGATTGACAAACTCGGAACCGCCTGACATCTCCAACAACGATCGGGTTTCAGCCCAACGGCTGAACCGAACCAAACGTGTTCTGTTTTGTTGCAAACAAAGTCACAGGGAAATCCTGATGCGGATGGGGAGAACCAGAAAAAAAACACATGCTGATCGTTTATGAATTAATAAAGGACTTGCCACCACTACTGCATCAGGAAGTGCACCAAAAAAAGGTACAAACCTATGTATGATAAGTGACTCAATATGATTCTATGATGTGATATTGATGTGATATATGTGAGTTGTTAAGCCCTGCCAAGTGGGATGGTGGGATTTCATTCATCCACAGAAATCCACATCACGAGAGGCCACACCCTCACTTGAGCGGCCTTGGTGCTCAGATAGGATCTGGACGACTTCCGCATGGCCCTTCGCGACGGCCAAGAACCGCGCCGACCGGCCTGACAGTGGAAGGTGTGATGAACACATAACAGTTGACTTGAGAAATCCCCTGACTAGATCGTCCTGCAATTCCCGGACCATATATAGTCAGTGGTCATATGTATACCTATAGATACTCAGACTCATGCTCTTATTTTTGGTTCAGCATACCGTTTTGGAATGTCTTAGACCATTCTTGTGTGCCTGGTTTTCTGTGGAACACTTCACTAATGGTCGACTGTGGACAATGTGATACAGAGACGAGCTTGTATTCATGCAGCAAACCAGTTTTCCGTATATTGTGGGATGGTGACCCAACGCAAGTGCTAAAGCAATTGGTGACCTGATCAGCATCTCCATTTTACTGCAAGGACATCGGTCTGAGCTCCAACATCTGCCAATATTACCACAACACACTGGCCTTGATTGGTGGACTGGCTCTGCCACTATGCTTTGGTGGCCCTGGACAACAAAAATACCAAACTATCATAATGGTTTCATGTTCTTTAGACGTTATAGTAGACGTTATATATATTATGAAGCTGATGACTGATGACAACACATGCTTGACTTTGATCAACAATTGGGAGCTACCTAAAAACATGGTATGGCAAAACACTTTCCGCGCTTTCCCCACCAAACAAAATGAGGGCACAAATTGAGTATATACAGTTGATATCAGTTGATGATAGTTGCATCATGAATCCCACACTGCATCCGTTGGGATGTTCATCAGCCGTGATTGATCTGCACACTTCGCTGCGATCCAAACCCCGAGACCCGAGACTTCGCTTTTGACCACGTCGTTCACGAATCGGGTTACGCTACGAGGTTTCGCAAACGGTCGGTCTTGCATTTGCCTCACCTCCACATCAGTCGCCCGGAGGTCGAAAGTCTTCAGATCTCTACCCCCATCACCCGGCCATGCAGCGACAGAAATCTCAGCCTTCATGATCCACAGCTTTGCGAAGGAATCCAGCGGTGCGGAGCAGTTCTTTGACTGCCCCAGCATGGCCCCCAGCAGCAGCCAGGTGCAGTGGCGTCTGGCCTGGGCATCTTGCAAAGCAAACATGAATTTCATTGAATTTCTTCAGGGTCACACATCTGCTCTTGAAAGAGAAACACTTAATTCGCCAAAATGGGCACCATCATGGGTCACACTTCTAGAAAGCGCAAGCAAACAAAAACTGGGACTTTAGACCATCGTTTTGAGACACCGACCATCCTCGTTAACGGAGTTGGCACGGGCTTTGGCGACCACCAGCAGGGCGTGGATCACATCGGAGTGGCCTGCGGCGGCTGCCAGGTGCAGCGCCGTCCAGCCTAAGCGCGTGGTGTTTGCACCGGCAAGTGGGGTATGGCTTGCTAGGGGTAAGCCGTGGAAGGAAGAACGATTACATTACGACATGTATTATCAAACTTATGAGACATGATGGGAGACAAAATAGCAGCGCCGACAAACACCTTGAGTTTGGTTGATCCCCTTTGGTGGCTTAATATTATAGACTTCATTGCTAAAATGGTTTGGATGGGGTTGAGTTACGTTTCAATTCACCACTCAAAACCCCGGAGCCAAGGCCCTGGCAGCCCTGACCCGCCATCTGCACCTGGGCTTTGGCATGTCGGAGGGCATTCACCACGTCCACATGCCCAGCCCTAGCCGCCAGGTGCAATGGTGTGTGGCCTGGGCAGCATGGGCGCACGCATAGGGGCTGCGAGTAGCTGCGAACTTGGAGTGTTTGAAGTGTCCCCAACATCCTCAAAGCTAGTTTCAGTACATAGGCCATATAAATCGCCCCCTTCCAAAAACACTATAAGGTGTTTCATCCAGGGCCCTGGCCAAGCTCTGTGGCACTGTCGAGGAGCGCTCGACGTCTCAGCAGCTCCCGGACCACATCCACATGACCCTTGGAAGCTGCCCCATGGAGGGCGGTTTGGCCTGGCCCCGCTGGTGGCTGGTCAATGAACGCCTCGATCGACCCCTGGACCCAGGTCCTGCGTGAGGTTCCAGGACTGGTCGGCCCGTATGACGGGTCATTGATGTACAAACAGATTTCAAACAAAGGTCACTTAAAAGGTCCTGGCAGGTCATTGTTCATGGCCTCCTTTGATGCGAACCTCATGATGTGCCTTTAGGTACCTCCTGCAGCTACTGTTTGAGGAACCTCATGATCATGGACTGTGCATGTTTTCGTGTTTTCCTCCACTGTGCATGGACTCCAAACATACTTGAAAAAGTGCAATCTGACATAATTCCAGCACACAAAAGCAACAATTCACCATGTTTCTATGATGATGTACATACATACAGTAATACACCACAAAGTGCCTCCAGCACCAGGGCAAACACAAGCATTGCATAACATTGTTCAAACAACTAAGGCCAAATCTACCAAAATCACTCCCAAACATCTTGTTGCCCGAAAAGAAACACCATCCAACTGACCCTTCCGGCGGCCTGACAAGTAGCTGCTCCTCACCGCTGTGGGATCCAGGCGTAGGAAATGCCGCACGTCGCCCAAGAGCCCCTTCTCTGCGGCATCAAGAAGGTTGGTACCTCGGCCACGCGTACGGACGAGCGTGGCCTGCGGAGCATAAGCAAGGCGTTCGCAGAGAAATGGAGGGAGACTTGTACTCATTGTAGACACTTGGGAAGCAAGAGTTCTCACCTGGAGATAACCTTGTGGGTGACATTGTGAACAAACTAAGGTACTCATTCTTGACGTTGTAGCTCAAATGTTTGACTATACCCCCAAGTTCAAGAATCCGCCAGCAACTGCCATGCCTTCATCCGAACGGTCGGATCGGACTTCGAGCGGGTCGGATGCCATTCTTCAATGGGGAACCCTTGGGACCCCGGGCCAAAGCAGGGGCCAAGAGTTGCTGCAAACAGGTGTCCAAGGGTCAAGAAGCATCCCAAGCAACACGCGGAAAACAAGCCAGATAGTAGCGAAACTATGTCCCAAACAGGTTCAAGGCTATCCGCTTGCTGGGGCATGCGAGACTATGCCCACTCTTGCTCTTAGAGAAAGAGATCGATAGAGCTGGAAAAGCAAAGCAAGTTGATTCGGGAAATCAACTAAATATTCTAAGCTCCACATGGCAGCGCAAACTACCCTGCAAATGAGCCCACATGCCAATGTGGATGGGATGAGATAACTGCTGTGACGGGTCAAGGAAAGCTCGGTACAACCAAACAACCCATTCCTGAACACAGGAACACAGCACAGCAAGCAAAATGTGACGACCGTCCATGACCAATCAACCAATCAACCCGACGGCTCTGGGCGCCCAACTATACCTCGCAAAGGACACGGCGACCTCTGCAGTGGGGAGGTGAAAACACGTGAAACGTCCGGCACAACCTGCATTGTGGGAGACACTGACATCAAAAAAACAGCACGGCCTGGCTAGATCGTGAAGAGCTTGGAGATGCCTGCGTTTGTACCAAGGCGGTGGGGCCCATTCTGCAGGGGCCAAAGCTGGGATTCGGGATTTTCATGGATTCTGCATGAAGAGTCAAAACAAAGTTGAAACATGTCTGACTCGATGCCGACATATGCCAACCAACTCCGAAGCATCAACCTCTGGTCTAACTGACCCTGACTGCGCAGTCCGATCGCCTGACTGGCCCTGGATGGTGAAGATCTTGGGGACCCCTGCCAGATCAAAAATGCCTTCTTATCTCTTCTCTGTAGCCTCTGATCAATAGCCCCTTGACCAGCAAAGCCGAAAAATCAAGCCGAGCACAGAGAGGACAACATCGGAACTGGTCCACGGCGGCCTGACGAGCCCTGCATGGCGCTGTTGAAGACACCTTCAGATTCACATGAATGGCGACTTGCTCATTTTTCGACCGCCTTTTGGTTCCAAGAAAATAAAAACGTCCGGCCTGGCCAGCCCTGGGGCGCGAGGAGGGTCGAGATGCCTAGACACATAAAATCTTTGATCGATCAATCCACAATTCTGATCGATTTAGAAGAACCTCTTGACATAACTCCTGATGAAAGCTGTGCATGGGAGGAAAGCTTTCCCACGACATGCCCGCCCAGCAAAATCAAATGCCTGACCAGCCCGCGGCGAAGATTGGAATGCCTTTGCCAGGTACGCCAAATGTGCCCATGTTTGGTTACAGAAGATTACAAAGCTGCCAGTCCAAGACACAAGAAAAGTATATCAAAGCTCTGTAAAGCGAACCACAATGCAAAGCATAGGCCTCGCCAGCCATGATGAACGAGGATGTTCGAGACTCCTTGACAGGAAGCAACAGCAAGAATCATCATGGTTAATTAAATTTAATGAATAGTTAATCAACAAAGAACCTATTTCATGACACGCTTTTCTACAAAACAAATGAAACACAAAACACACCCATTCGCCGCAAAGAAAAGCACCCATTCGCCGTCCTGGGTGGATGGAGATCTTGGGGACGCCTTGCCGGGTAGACTCAAGACAACAACCATTTATATACCCTATTAAGTATATCATGGTATATTACACACACCCTGGGCCCATTGGATGATGATGACCTGTTGCAGGCCTCTACTGGGACACACCCAGACTCTATCCAGACGCAAAAAAGGAAATGACAAACCTAAGACGACCATAGGCCTGGTTGGTCCTGAACAGTGGAGATGTCTGCACCTTGACAGCAGGCCAAAACAAACATCAATGCAACATGTACTTTTAGCAAGTTCTGGTTAAATGAGCACCTAGCGATATCAAAACAAGCCAAATATCTGGGCCTCGACCGTCCGCCGCGGCGATGTCGAGGACGCCTGAAACGGGGATGTGTGACGCATCCTTTCATGGCAAGGGTTGGAAGTTAGTGAACTTGAAATGTTGACAGAATGCTACTAGTAGCTCCTGGCTTTGCTTCTAGTAACAAGAAGCTACTAGTAGCTCCTGGCATTACTTCTAGTAACAAGAAACTAGTAGCTC